ATATGCTTGAGGAGTTGCTTGTTGAGATGCTTGTCGAGATGATTGTTGATATGCTTGAGGAGTTGCTTGTTGATATGCTTGTCGAGATGCTTGAGGAGTTGCTTGAGGAGATGCTTGTCGAGATGCTTGTCGAGATGCTTGAGGAGTTGCTTATTGAGTTGCTTGTTGAGATGCTTGAGGCGTTGCTTGTTGAGATGCTTGTGATTATTTGTGTGGAGTATGTGTAACTCCTTATTTGTGTGGAGTATATGTAAACCCTAGAGATATGAGGCTTATGTGGAGTATATGTAACTCCTTGAGACATGTTTGCAACAGGCTTGTGTGGAGTATGAGATGTGACTATGATCATTTGTATGAGAAGTGGCTATGATCATTTGTATGAGATGTGGCTATGATAATTTTGTAAACTCGACATTTGTACTATGATCATTTTGTGTACCTCCTTGTTGTGATAAGTTTTAAAAAAAATTGTACGGTCATTTGAACTCCTCATGTGTATGATCATTTGTGTAATTCCTTGTTGTGATAAGTTTTTGATTTTTTTTAATTGTATTGTACTCCTCATTTTGTACTCCTTGTTTTGAGTAAAGGAGAGGAGTATGAAAATTTTCTTATGAGAAGAGTAGGAGAGGAACAGTTTAAAGTTTCAGTGGTCAAAATAAAAGAAGAGAAGAGAAGTTAAAGCATGCACAACTTGCTTCCGCTACTGAAAATGAAGACAAAATTGCTGAACTAGTGTTGTGTGCAAGTGCAAGTACTCAAGTGCAAGCAAACAAAATTTCTTTGAGTACCTATCATGTTCAGTAATCAAACTGAATCAAATGCATGCACATAATACTTGCATGTTCATAATACTTGCTGAAAAATTAAAGGAACAGTTTCATGTTCATAATACTTGCATGTTCATAATACTTGCTGAAAAATACTCCAAGCAAAATTACTTCAAGCAAAATTGAGAAGTTAAATCTTGTTCAAAATTACTCTAAGCAACATACGCCGACCACATGCCTTATTTTAAACAGAACAAGGAATTCTAACTACCTTTTGTCAGGTGTCCTCCCAGGATGTGGGTGATTCAGGGTATCGTGCCGTTACTGCATTGCAAAGAGATCAAACACAAGACACCGAGTGTGGCTGAATAAACACTGAATATCCCTGTCAAAACAACAGACATCTGAAATTATGGTCGACAGGTAGACAAACAGAGATCAGTTGACCTTATCTTACCCCATCAATTCGAGATAACTCTGCGTGAACTCTAGAGGGCCCCGTCGCCCATGACTCCAAGAGGCGATGACCAGTGACTTCAAGCATAGCACTAGCCCCGCGATAAATCCAATTGTCTGCAAGGATACAGTTAACACCAAATTCAGTCAAAAAAAAAACCTTTTACCCTCGCAGTGATACAGTGTTGCAGTTCATCAGGCAGAGACCTACTGCAGATATGTTCATCAGCGATATTCAGTAAACTAAATTCAGCGCGGGGGGCAGCTGCGAGCTACACAAACTAAATTTTGTCTTCATAAACTAAATTTTGTCTTCATAATTTTTCTGAAGAAGCACATGTAGAACTAAGACAAATTTTCTGAAGTTTAACAAAACTACAGAAGCTGCACCATGACAAAACTACAGAAGTTGGAGTACAAATTTTCTAAAGAGAGAAGAAGACAATTTACTCCAGGGCTACATGAGTAACATAAAACGGTTTCTACTCCAGCAAGAAAAATGCTACTGCTAATGCAAGCACAAGTTAATTGCTACTGCTAATGCAAGTTAAAGTTATACTCCTACAGGAGTACATTTTACTGAAAAGAAGAGAGGACGGGAGGACACTGTTGGGGTCTAACCCCTAGCTCTCTCTTGCACTCGCACTGGACGTAGGAAGAAGAAAGAGGAGCACTGGTGTTTGGCGACGAACGCCCGCCGCGCGTACGGTACAATTTTCTTTCATCACAAACTGTTACAACTGACTCGATATACAGCCGTATTTGTAGCTAACCGGGACGTAGCGCCCACGCTCGCCGCGGTCACCCCACGCACGCTTCCCTGGCGATCCGGTCTTCCAACGTAAGCTGCCCACTCCTCCGCTTGACCTGGATGCCATCATATGCGCCCGCCGTTGTTACACAACGGAGCTAGCTACAAAACTGGATTGACACTAATCTATCCTTGAACGGGGCCAAACCAACGTCCAGATTTGATCTAGACCTTGACGCAAACACAAGCACGTACTCATGCACCTACACGCCCTATGCATGCGCACGAACGCACACGATACACACGTACGCCCATACGTACAGCAACGGACCGGCGACTGGCTCAATCATCGCGCACACACACGCACATGATCACCACCCATACCGTGGCTTATTCCAACAGACACTGCTGCAAAAGCACAAGTTACTGCTACTCTAGTTTTAAGCAAGCATCACTAGAGTACTCCAAATTATCAATTCAAGCTACTGCAGTGCAAGCTAGTGCTATACTCCTACTCCCTTTTGTCAGAGATCTACACCTAAGAAACAAATCTAAACATTTCAGACTTGGAGTAGTACAAAAATATGGATTAATTTCCTTTACATTTCACTTTTCACAGCTCCTCCAACTCCAATATGGATTTTGTCGGCAGGTCATACAGGAAGCATAGTTCAACTAATATTCACAGTAAGAACAAATTCCTCTGCACCACCGCAGATAAGTACACCAACATCTGCAGCTAAGGGCATGTACAATGATGCTATCTTAGGAGCGCCACGTAGGATAAATGATGAGGTAGAGGAGAGAGAACTCATAAGAAAAGACTTGTCTTATCTTATTTAAGAGAAGACAAGAGATGATCTCTTAGCACAATATGTCTCACCATGTTTTTAGGAATAGCTAGTTATTGAAGATAAGGCTAAGAGATGACCCATTGTAGACGTTTTTCTTTATTATCTCTAAATTACATGCAAGTCTTAAGATAAGACTATCTTATCAACCATTGTACATGCCCTAAGAAGAACATCTGCAGCTAAGTACAACAACATTTACACGGCCGCCTCCTCCTCCAGCGCACATTCATTAACCCCTATGAGTGGCCGGGCCATGGAGAGAGGGATCGATTCCTTACCTTGAGGTTCAGCTCGTGAGTAGGCGCTCCACTGTCGCCCCGCCGCTCCACCGCTCCGTTGCTCCGCCACTGCCCCGCCGCCGCGACGCTGCTCAACATCCAGTTTGACTTCGTCACCGGCGTCGGGGCACGCGGATCCATCATCGACGCGTGCGGATCCAGCGCTAGCGCACGCGGACCCAGCGCCTCCGCCGCCCAGAAGCTCGTCGCCGGCGCTAACAAGGTTGTCTTTTGACCTCGGCGTCTTGGATTTCTGGCGCCCGCCGTGGGAGGAAGCTGGCGACGACAAGGGGGAAAGGAGAGACCGGCGTTGTTGGTAGGAAAGGAGAGACCGGCGACGGGAGGAGAGGAGAGGCGGGCGAGAGGAGGGGATCTGGGAGTGGCGGGCGTGAGGAGAGGCAGACGAGAGGTGTGGAGCGAGTGGAGCGGTGGGAGGGCATTTTGGGAAAGTAGAAAAATCTCGTAACGTGAAAAAGTTTGTACGTGGATCGCTCCAGCGACTTACATTTCGGAACAGAGGGAGTATGATGATTGTTCTTGATCGACTGTTGCTAGTAGGATCAGTACAAGCAGATCATCTGTATATGTATATCATCTGTACATGTAGATCGTGTGTAGATGCAGATTACATGAATATTTAAACTACACGAAAATTTGTTTATATTGTAAATTGGGCAGCTCCCCCCAACTTGAATTTGGTAAACAAAGAATCCAACATCAACAAGTCTTAATAATAAGGATAATAGAAACCCGAGTCTTAGGATAATAGAAACAACACGTCTTAATAAGGTGGGAAAATGGAAAAGAGGATTGTTGCATGCCAGGAAAACCCGTTCTTCTTCATTCTCCTTGTCCTTGTTGTGGATTACCGGAGCAGACATACCAACAGTGGTAGTATGATGCAAAGTGGAGGCTGGTAGCATCTCTTGTTCCATCTGTTCCGAGTCTGATTCTTCTTCATCCTCCTTGTCGTTGATTACAGCATGCTGCAGGAATACCAACAGTTCCATCTGTTCCGAGTCTGATTCTTCTTCATCAACCTAAAAGTAGCCAACACTGGTAGCTGTCAGGGACTGAAAAAACAAACATGCCAAATAGACAATGAAACATGTAGTAAGTAACTTGCACCAGACATCGACCATATGTCGAGAGAGCAAGCGTGGGACGGTTAGGATGGGTGTTGATTGCTCGCCTCACTGCTGCGGTCACTTTGTGAACATCAGAAGCATAGGCATCATCACAGTACATGCGAGCTCCCACTCTCCGAAGAGAATGGAGGTTTCCCAGGCTACCAATGAAGTCAAAACCAGTGCCGGCATCCTTCAAGGAACGCACTTCCAGACTGATACAAATAGATTCTAGGCTTTGCATGCTTCCCTGTCGAAACCTGAATGGCGCATACACCCTCAAGTTGCTCAACTTGGGGAACGCACCATCAGTGAATTCCATGCCCCCTGGAATCCATACCAACTCATGAATGGAAGTAAGGTTTGGCAAACCCCCAAGGTTCACTACATCCTGCTCCCCCAAATCAACCGAGTTTATGTGTACATCTAAGTCAGAAAGGTTCGGAAGAAGCGAAGAATTAATCCATGTCGGGAGTTTCCTGAAACGGCCCACTATGCGCAGATCACGGAGCTGCCGAGGGGGCTCATAGCCTTCCCAGGTGTCACCAAACGCCAATCTCTGAGTCCGCTTGGAACCAAGTACTTCTCTCCCAGGAATCACATATAGGTTCTTTTAAAGTACAGATAAGCACCCTCAGCTCTGTCAGCTTGCTGAGCTCTTTCACAAACATACAAGACTCGTCAGCAACTTTCAAACGTAGCTCCTCCAAGGATGTCAGGTTCCCTATCCCATTCGGCACTCTCATAGAATCACCATCAGCACGCAGACACTTGAGTTTGCTTAGCAAACAAATACTCCGTGGTAACTCTTCTACATCAGTGCCACTCAAGATCAGTATCTGCAGAAACTTTAGGTCTCCTATTTCTTCTGGGAGCTTCCTTATGCATGTGCTATCTAGACTCAGGTATCTTAACTGTGGTAACCTTCCAAGATTCTCAAGATGGTAAGGATGGTCTCTCTCAAAGTAGCACCTTTCCATGGCTAGAACACGCAACACATGAAAGTTTGAAAGTGATGGCACCGCATTTGGATCACACATGGTGGCATAGCACGACCTCAGTTTCGGCATGCTCATGTTAGCCAGAGGTACATTTCTCTTTTGGACAGCTAACCTACGAGCATTGCATTGTGAAGCTGTGTGCTTCTCGTTAATATCCAGTATAGTAACAAAATTTTGTTCCTTTGATAATAAAGAAATCATATCGAGCACCATATCATGAATACGACAAGACTCTTTTCTGTTATATATATTCTCTACCAGCTGGATCATGCTTCTATTTGCGAGTTCATCATAGTAACTTTCTCCAGTCTCGTATAAACTTATTCCTGGTTTCTCACTGACGAAACCTTCGGCAACCCACTGCCATATCACTTTGTTTTTGTTGATCAAATAGTCTTCCGGATATATGCTCAGATGCAGAAGACAAGACCTTAGATGACAAGGTAGATCATGATAACTAAATAATAGTATCTTCCTTGTGTTCTCTACAACTGTGTTATCATCTCCAGATCCAAAACCAACAGAGTTGAATACTTTAGACCAGTCCTCCATAGGTTTACAAGCCAACAAACTAGCTATTGTAATTATAGCTAATGGCAAACCTCCACACTTCTGTAATATTTTGTTTGATACTTCAGCCGGTTGATTAAGAGGGCATTTATCTTTACCACCAAATAATCTTGTATACAGTAATTCTTCGACAAATGTTGAGAAAGTGGTTTTAGCTTGTAAATGTCATCGGTCTCTGTGGCGACACTGAGAATACGAGTAGTTATGATTACTCGGCTCCCATGATTGTTATCAAGCAAAGCACATTTCATAATGTCCCATGCTTTTAAATCCCATATGTCATCAATGACAATGAAGTACCTGTCCACATGACAACACAAGAGTCGTGCATTAGCTAGTAAAACCATCTACAAAATATGTGTAAAAAATGCATATCAGCCACCTTGATAAGAAATATAAATACGTATGGAATCGCTCAATCTAGTCTATCTAGAACAGGTACAATAAATAAAAGAAGGGAGCCAGCCACTGGAAAAATGCATGCATCAATTTTATTGATCAAGTCTCTTTCATCGAAAGTGTAGTTTTTATTAATTTCATCCATCAGATTTAATTATGCTTTATATACTAAATTTGGGTTTCATTTATTGCCTTGAACTCGGATTTATATTTCCAGTTCTAAACTGAATTTGTGAGAACGTTTGGTAGTTGTTAAGGACCCAAATGATATTAAAGCTGGAAAATGTTGGTAAAATCTAGTCCATCTTCTAAAATTACATCAAAACATGAATAGACTCTCGAAATCCAAATTTAAAACTGGACAAAATGAAATGAAACACAGATGTTGGATTCAATGCCCTTATGACGCTGAGATGCACCACCTAGCTGATAAGAGTCAAAACCATCCTAATATGCTATGCACATTGTGTCGCTACGTCTAATGCATTAGGTTCTATACATCATATATCATGGTGTTTTCAAATTATACCTCCGTAATTGGGAATGATTAGTCAGCTCTAATATTATGAGATATAAACCTGATCAAGGCAGAATGTTGTGTACCTTCCATTCTCAAGTAGTTGTCGGAGTTTGTCGATGAGTTGTTTTTCATCCAATATGGCTACATCACCAAAACGCTCCAGCTTCTTGTCAAGTTCCAAGAGGATATCCCTGAGAACTTTCTTCACTTCAGGGTTTCGACCCACTGGAACAAAAGCTGTGTATTCAAATTGTGTTTGAAGCCTATCATACACTGCCTTAGCAAGTGTAGTCTTGCCAAGTCCTCCAGGTCCAAAAATAGTGACTATCTTCATCTTGGGCTGCTGCTTGGGAACATTGCCATCACCATCACCATCTGTGAGCCTCTTGGTTAGCTCGTTTCGTGCGTCTTCAATGCCAACAAGCTCTTTCTGGTCCTTGTACAATGATAGCACGCGAGGGTCAACATTGTGTTTTCCAGTTACACTGGCAACAGCATCGTCAACCCTGTATCTATCACGCCGGTCAGCCACCTCTTGGGCACGGTTCTTAATGTCCCTGATAGCATTGGCAATCTGATGGCGAGTCTTGCCTTTGGTGAACAAGTTGGCCATGTCCCCCACCAGCCGTTTGAGCTTGTTTGAGTCGGCGATGGCATCGGATTCCGATCCCTCGACGCGCAGCAGGAAGTTGTCGACGACATCCTCCATATCATACGAAAGCTCCCTGAGCTCATCAGCCCAAATGATGACCTGGTTGTCCAGCTGGTCCCTTGGCACCTCCGCCACCTTGACAAGGGCAGCGTTCATGCTCTTCATCTCCCTCTCGAGGGACTCAACATCTTTCTTGACACCCTTCTGCAGCTTGTACTCCCCCACGAGCAACTGGCCAAGCTTAGGGAGCAGCCTCCCCATGGCACCAGTCACCACCTCCATGGTGGAATTGATTGATCTTCGCTCTCAATGTATGGATCCTTTAGGAAGAACTCCTGCAACACACATGGATTGGAAGTTAGAAGACAGGGATCTGACCCATTGTAGGAAAATCAAAGGTAATTGTTCTCCATCGCAGGAAATACATCCACTACAACACCTAGGAAGCTTAGGTGCTCTGGCCTGGTTTGGTTGCGCCCCATATATTATTAATCAAATTACTGAAAGTTAAATCACACAAAACAAGGACGTCATGTAAATAGGGCCAGAGGAGGTAACTAGTAGTACCATCTAAAACAGTATAGATTGTTTGGCTCCACCCTTTTATTCATATACTGGACTGTATGCCTAGTTTTGTTTGAGAGTTAGGGATTAGCTGAAGAATGTTGTGGATCATCTGAAATAAAGTAGGGCATCTGAAATAAAGTTGGCTAACACCTGAAGCTTATTGGTTTTCTGCTTTTCATAATTTCAGCATATGCAGCAGTTTCAGCACAAAGGGGGGAGATGTCTTTATATGCATGATGATTATGGCATTAGCACTGTCGTGATTCCATGTTAAAAACTAATAATGTGGCCCGAATTCTTCTTTTTTCCCTGTGAGGCCAAAACAAGGGCAGATGATTGTCCTTGTTTAGTCAGATTTGATGTATGTCTTGAGTTTCTTTGAAGCTATACATACTACAAGTCTATGTATTTGGATCTGCTCTCTTTCAAGCTATACCTATCATCATCAAGTAAATTTTGTCATTTGAACAGATTTATAGATCACGGAATCTGACTGTGGACAGCAATGCTTGCTTGACAAAAAGGTGGCACCCAATCCCTGCAGGGATTAGATCCATCTACTAGCCAGGGGATCTAATAAGTGTTGTCACTTGAAGAGATTTGCATATGAATGCCTAGTAGGACATCACAGAATCAGAATGTGCACTGCAGGGATTAGATCTATCTACTACCAACAAAACAAGGCCTTACCGAGTGCAAGCAGAAGCAGCATAGCTGCTAGGTTCTTGGGCGACTGCCTCCAAATGCTGCCGTCTTCTGGCCATCTTCTAGGATCTTGCACTGCCGTCTTTTGGCCGTCTTCTAGGATCTAGCAGCTAGCAGCAAGATCCCCTGGCAGGCAGCTTGCTGGGATAAGATGAAGAGGAGCAGGTCAGGTGAGAGATGGAAACACAAGAAGAGGAGCAGAATAACAATTAATTTGAGGGGAAGAGGATAGAGAGCGCTTACAGGAGCTAGCTAGCTAGCAATGGCGGTTGAGGAAGGCGATGGATCCACTCTTCCTTCAATATGAGCGCCATGGTTGGATTTGGATTTTGGATTTGAATGAACACGGAGCAGAGTGTCCAGAGCAAGATGAGCGAGAGCAATGGTGGTTCCCTCCCCTTCCCTTCCCTTGTTGAGAGCAGAGTCTGCGGAGCAAGGCAATAATGGAGGAGGAGGAGGAGGAGCACTGTGCTAGCAATAATGCAGGGCAGAGCAATGAAGATGAATGCGCCAGCTGGTTGCTACAGTGTACTGCATGCGTTATTATAGATGTACTGCTATGAAGCACCCTGGACATCCACATCCAAGGACAAGGAAGGAGGCTGCCAAATACTACAACTCCTACAATAACATGAAACACCTCCTCAACTAGTAATAACACTAGTATGTATTTGGGATTTTCTTATCGAAAACTATATTTATATTGGGTTATTTTTAGGTACATTCACTCTTTTGTTATACCTTCTTATGTCATGTCATTAGCTCACTGGTGTTTACTGACAAGGCTCTCGGTTTGTTGTTGATAAATGATGAGTTCTGAGTTCTGACACACTATACACGTTGAGTTGAGTGTATTTTTCAGCTTAACATAAATCAAGCCCTTTTTTTCTTGAGAAATCAACTAATAATCATGCCAAATCGCCAATTGAGGCCTAAGAAATATCTCCAACACCAACCCCCAAAACAGACATGGTGTCCTTCTTGTTCGTATTGTAAGTCCTTGTTCCTCATGTCCGGCATCTTCGCCGGTTGTGACACCCGAGGAGTGAAGTTGTGGATAGCCGGCAAGGAAGAGTGAGACATCGGACACAGTTGTGCCTACATGGGGCACATATGCCTCTCATGTCCTACTCTTCCTCATCAAAGTTCAGGTCCTCTACAACAATGGCAGCCACAACTTCGGCACTCGCAAACTCGTCGAAGATTTAGCCCTTCGTCAACAGGTGATGTGCGAGAAGGGTGAGGTTGTAGCGTTGCTCGTTCTGCGCCAGCCAGAACATAGACATCAGCAATGTCGGTGGGTCCTTCGTCAGCCGGTGATGTGCGAGAAGGGTGAGGTTGTAGCGCTGCTTCTTCTACGCCAGCTGGAACACATACATCGACATTGTTGGCGGGTCCTCCATCATGCAGCGGTGAAGTGCGCCTGCACCTGCTCCATGGTGAAGCCAGCACTGGCACGAGTAGGTGAGACGACTTGTCGTTGGAGGCCTCCTCCATCGCCGGGTCATCATCGGTCCTCTTCGGAGAGCTCACTGGCAGGCCAACCACTATCACTACAAAAAAAATACACTTTCGTGATGATACGTGTTTGTCACAGTAGGTCGCGTTTTTTGTCATGCATGTACATCCATGACAAATTTATGACAGAGTCAAGATAGTCATACCTGTGCTATCGTAGAAGTGTTCCATGACATTACCAAAATTATCATCACGGAAGTGTCCACTTCCATGACGATAAATCGCGCGTCACAGAAGTGCTTTCGTCAAGGGTGACCGACACGTGGCATCCACCGTAACGGAACGCCGTTAAGCTATCGGGTCGGATTTTGGATCCGATAACCCGTTAACAGCCACGACCAATGCCGATTTTGCACGTGTAAAATTCTCATTGGCTGACGGATCCACGTGTCAGCTCCACGTTGGCACATGTGTCACTCATCCAACGATCGAGATGGGCCTATGATATGTTGACACGTGGACCGGCCCAAAAGTGGCCCACAAAGTTTAAATGGGCCGGCCCAATCGAAGGCCCATAAGATTTAGCGGACCATAATGGCCCGGCCCAGCTAAAGGCCCACAAAATTTAGCAGACCATAATGGGCCGGCCCAGCTAAAGGCCCACAAGATTTTGCGGAAACAATGGGCCGGCTCAGCTAAAGGCCCACAAGATTCTGCAGACCATAATGGGCCGACCCAGCTAAAGGCCCACAAGATTCTGCAGACCATAATGGGCCGACCCAGCTAAAGGCCCAATATTCTCTGTCAAATCATCCCGTCAACGGCCTGGTCTAAACTTGTCATCAATGCGGCCCATGATCACTTCTGGCCCGTTAACAGTCCGCTAAGTAATTGGGCCGAATTACGGCCCGGTGTATTTCCGGCCTGTTAAAGGTCCGGCTTTATTTGGACCCATTTACAGGCCATCAAAACTTTTGGCCCATAAACGACCGTGAAGGATTTGGGTCATATTCGGCCATGTCTGTCATTCGGCCTGTTAGAGGCCCACTATAGATTTGGCCCACTTTCGGCCTGTTGTCATTTTCGGCCCGTTAACGCCGGACGTAAACCATGGGCCATATGTGGCCCAACATCATATCGGGCCCACTAACGGCCCATATAAAAATGACGATAATCTAGCCCGACCAAAGTTCCGGCCTGTTAAAGGCCCGTGTATTAGGTCGGTGCATTTACGGCCTGTCCGAATTTTGGCCTGTCAAATATCTGCATCGTAAATGGGCCACCATTTCGGCCTGCTAAGTCCAGTGGGTTATTTGGCACAATCAGGGCCCAATCTCACTTTCGGTCTATTAAAGGCCCATGTTTTTTATGGGCTCGACATATTTACACCTGTAAACGGCCTACTTTTACTGAGGGCCCAAATTATGTTTAGGCCTGTTAAAGGCCCACTATGGGCACAAGCCTACCAGAAAAATTTGAAAGCTTATGCTAATTTAAGCCCAGATATTTTTAGTGGGCTACATGCCAATTTTGGCCCGTAATCGCTTTTAGCCTAATTGGAATGGGCCCGAAGAATGTTGGCATGTTGGGCTCCTACGAAGCTTTCGTCCGAATACATTACTAAGATAAACCTACACTATACAAAAATAGCGTCATAATTACTGCAGCATGTGGCAGCATCATAAATGTTGTATCACAACAAAATAAATTCCAATCATACAACAAAAGGCTTGTTGGCATAAAGTTTACAGTCCTTCCAGATAAAAGCACCATCAGATGTATAGAGCACAGATCATTTGACCTGAGTGCTAATGTTTCAGGCTGTAGAATCTGATAGAGCAGCACGATCTCCACCTTTTTTCCTCCATTGTTCTTCAACAACGAAGCGAATGTCTGATAGTCTCGTTTCAAAACCATTCATATCTTGACGGTATTTCTCAACCACTATTCTTGTTTCCGAAACAACGTCCATTAGGGATTGGACTTGTGTCTGGAGCACAGATATATCACTCTGTCTAGCAGGAAGATTTTGTTCAGTAGGCGATTTGGACGAGGTTACCTTGACAACCAACCCAGAATTACACAGGAAGGTGCTTTTTGCACTGTTAGTGGAGAGATACTGACGCACTGCAGCAAGAGGTGACATTGTGCCTGTAGTGGCCTCGTCACCTTCAGGTGGTTGTGGTTGTTCAATCATTTGTTCCATAGCTTCCTAAAAGTTTGAACTTGTAGATTAGTGTACCAGTGAGTTACTAATAAGACAAAAACAAACAAAGTAGGTTAAACGTTTATACATAACTTATTTTGGTAAACTACTGTAATACATTAGCATGTATTGTAGTGCCAACTACATAATAAAATCACTTTCGGAACATATGTCCATGTAGCATGCCTACTGTATTGTCTATTTCCTCACATTCGTTGACATCTAAGGATAAAGAGACATGGTTTAAAGTAGGATGAACATAGTATGACATCATTCATATCATGGGCAAACAGATATAAAACAAACAGACTAATTTATCATCGTGTGCGCACATGAACATAACAAC